CTGAATCGAACAATTATGGGATATCACTTGTAGAAGCATTTGTATGACTATGTGCTTTTACATATGCGTGTGTGTATGTGCCTGTGTGTATGCATGGGAGTGTTCAGGGTATCTCCTAATCGAGCAGTCTCGACTAGAGCCGTCTTACTTGTTTTTTTCTCTGCTGGCAGCGACGCAACTCATATACTCGGCGAGGCATCTCATATACCCGGACTCATATTCATTCGACTCATTATCGTTCAACAGAATATTGTGCCTCTGAATCGTATACGATCGCATTCGCCCCGGTGCCACTCATTTCAATATGAGCATTGTTAACTCGAGTACGTTTTTTTGGGACTCATTCAGACCTCTAATATGTATACAATTGATGCTAGACACCTTCGATGCTTCGACCACAGGGGGCATGACAAACCGCAAAAGTTTATATCTTCTAAAGTATAAGAGCTAGAATCGTTTGGATCGTTATGTTACTAGTAACCTCCTCTATCGATGATCTAAAAATAATTTTTACGCCTCTTGGGGGCGTAGTATATTGAAATATACCCTGTAATTTTAACATTTTTTAACGTAAGCAGTCAAATTTTGCAGTTGGGTTACCGTTAGCTCGTTCTAAGAACTGATCAAAAATGAGATATCCACGCCCAGAAGGGCGTGGCAAATCGGGAAAAGTTAAATTTTCTACAGTATTAGAGCTAAATTTAGCTACTTGCTGATGGGATGTAAATGGGTATTTTGCAGTCAGTAACACCCGACTGCAACGCACTTAGCAGAGCGCGTGATTGTATGCATATGCCTTTATATATGTGTATAAAAAGTAAAAAATAATTAGAATATCATTTCTTTGCAGGGTCAAACCTTCATAAGATCGATAAATCATCTGATAACTTTTTATCGAGAATAGTCGAAAAATTGATTCTGTTTTTTTCAGCCTCATTGGAACAATTTTAGACTTAGAGACTTCAAATTTACTGTGTACATATGATGAATATAGACATTTTGCAGTTTACAGATTTTGGATACCACGCCCCTTTCGCTCCAAAAAAACGCATTTCAAGATTACGTTCTGATTGTATGTTCATTAAGATTGTACGTCTAGAAATCAAATTATTCAACAAATAAAGTCTCATTATATTGCCCACACAGCAGCGCAGCCCAAGCGCAGGCTCTGCTTACTGCGCAGTTAGCAGAGCGCGGCCTTATGCGTGCGTGTGGATGCAGGTGTATGTATGCATATGTCCATAAAAGAGGTACAGAATGATTAGAATATTAGATTGGAGGGTTCAGGGTATCTCCTGGTCGAGCAGTCTCGACAAGAGCCTTCTTAATTGTTTTTATTGATCAATTCATTTTAAATACATTGTTAGTCTTAGTACTACATTTTCGTTACAGGTTTTAAGCCCAATATATAGAAGCATTTTCTTAATACGGCCGCAGTTGCCTCACATATTAAAATTCTACTGTGGTTTACACTAATAATTTGCCCAGCGTCGTTTTTTTCAATGCAATAACAGCTATCATAGAATTCAGTAAATACAACGGAAACTTCATAGCAAAACTCACATAAAAAGTGTAGAAATAAACCATTTGCACATTTAATTAATATATCATGCAATTTTAGTAGTGTTTTTGCAAGTTTCCATTCTTTTTCGTGAATCAGTTCTATAGTAAATTTATCTAAAATATCTCCCACATTGCTAAAATCTTTTCCGGAGCTACGAGCAATAGAACAAATACGACTATACGTGTATAACAAGTATACAGCCGTATTTCCACGATCGTCAAGCATTTTATCAAAGGAAAATATGTAATCGCTTATACGGTTATGACATAAATCTGCATACTTTATACAGCCATATGCCACCGCTTCTTGAGCTTCGAGCAGTTCTTTAGGTGTTAATATCTTATCACGACCTCTCTGCTGCAACTGCTTTAGAGAATACTTCAACCCCTCATCCAGCAGGTCTGATAGTTTGACAGTATCACCGGATCGTGTCTTAAATTTTTTGCCATCATCTCCTAGCACCACTCCAAATTGTACATGATCAACACGATGGACTTCTGGATTTAAAATACCACAACGCTCTGCAGCCTTGAAAATTGCCTTAAAGTGGGTGCTTTGTCCAGAATCCACAACATAAATTATCCAAGTGGCATTGTCTTCTTCAATTCGATGTCTAATGGCTGCCATATCAGAGGTATCGTATGTAAATCCACCATCCGATTTCACAATGGTCAACGGAATGCCACTCTTACTGTCATCAGGCCACATGATTTCCCGCCCGTCGTCTAATTCAAGAAACCCCTTGTTTCGCAGAAATTCAACTACCGACACCATACGTGACTGATAAAATGATTCGCCACGTTCATTAATTGTTACGTCTAAGCGATCATAAATTTTCTGAAATTCTTTTCGCGAAACATCACATATGAGTTTCCAAGCTCTAATTGACTCTGTTGTTCCATTTTGGAGTGTAACAACGCGGTTGTAAGCCCGCTTTTTGAAATTGTCATCAGTATCAAAACTAAAAAGAAAAAAAAAACAATACATTAATGCACTTTCAATATTGAAATATGGAAATTAATCATTAAAGAGTATTTAGAAATAAATCTTAAAGGCATACAATATTACATAAAGAAAACATACCAATCAAAAATAAACAAGTAAGAAGACTCTAGTCGAGACTGCTCGATAGGAGATACCCTGAACCCTCCAAGCTGATATTCTTATCATTCTGCACTTCTTT